CCACTGTGAAACGCTGGTATAACGAATTTAATCGTGGTCGCCGTTCGCTCATCGACGAAAGTCGTGAAGGTCGTCCAACATCAGTTGTTGTGTCAGAAAACATTGATGCTGTGCAAAAACTAATAATGCAAGATCGTCATGTGACATACTGTGAGATTGAGACAACATTAGGCATTAGTTCCACCAGCATATATAAAATATTGCATGATCATTTAGCCGTGAAAAAGGTTTGTTCTCGTTGGATCCCACATAATCTGACAAAATCTCAAAAAGATGCTCGTGTCGATTGGTGAAAACAAATGGTTCGAACGCATGCAAAAGTGTATAGATCATAAAGGAGAATATTTTGAAAAACAATAAAGTCATTTTCAATGACAAATTACTGTTTTTTTATTATTAGGCTCAAAATATAAATAGTGCCCCTCGTATGTCCAGAACGGCTTGATCAATTTTTATTTCTTTTGGCTCAAATTACTCGTGGCGATGCCGCCTTTCAGAATATGTTACATGCGATTCAAAATTTTATATATTTTAGTAGTTCTGTACCCCCAAAAAATTTGGGAGCTCGGGATAAGAGACTTGTAGCGTCTTTTTGTTTTTGAACATGATCGGAGACACTACCGCGTCTCCTGATATGCGTAAAAGTTGCAACTGAATATTCCTCTTACACTTGGGAATAAGCTGACAGTAAATACAAAACACAATTTTTCTTGTATGAAACCGTCATTAAAACGATTTTATGAATAAAAATTTTGGATGCTTTATACAATTCCAAATATTTTAAGTTAATAAAATGCTATTTAAATGAATAAAAGTATGTCCAACTTACTTCCTAAATTACTCTCTTTCATATTTACTCAATTTATGTTTCATCATACCTTTATATGTTTTTATAGCTTAAGCTCTTGATTATGGATTGTAAATAAATAAAATATCCAAGTTTATATTGCATCGCATTATTTAATTGTTTGTAACATCTTCTTCCAAAAGAAGTGACATCTTATCCATATATATATAGGGGAAAGATGCCACTTTTGTAAGGTATGATATATCAATTTTTTTCAATAATACGTAATATTAAACGTTAAAATAAATTTGTGTAAATAAAGAAAGATGTCTAGAATATAAATAATATTTTTTCGTAACTTAATTCAATAATGTTAAGTTATTCAAAAATAAAGGCTTAAGTATGGCGTCTTCCCTCCAATTACCTTATCTTACGATAATGTTGACAAGTCAAGTGAGAACGACTGTTTTAGCAATTTTTATCCTAAAATTACGAGTATAAACCGAATGGACGCGTCAAGTACGCTGCTGCTGGAGATCTCGCTAATTTTCGATTTTTTGTCTCTGCAATTTTCTATTTGTTATCGATGTAAAAACCCTTTTCAATTTCTGCGCCTCTCATTACGCTATCTATTGTATTTCGTTTTCTCATTTTAATGTATTGTTATACCTTAAATGTCTTCTGTATTTGATATTAAATCTATTATAAAATTGTGAGAAATATAATACAGTCCTAAAGGATGTCTAAGGACATCTACATCGTCCAAGGACGTCTTGAAGTTGCCGCTCGGAAAACTGTGTTCTAAGACTTTTTTAAGAAATATACTTGAAATATTATTATGATTTCACTTCTTTTTTGTGGTATTATCTTTGGTTTTTTATTATGTTTTTGAACATCTTTGTTTTGATGTGTTTGCATGAAAACATTGCAGTTTAATTTAACTTCTTTTTTGTGATATAATATTTGCTTCTTTTTATTATGTTTTTGAAAATATTTCATTGTTAACTGAAAATAAAAATTTTGCATAAAAATATTGCAAAATATACTTGACGCCTTTTTTTTACATTTTTAATATCTTTTCCTATGAATATTTATACGTGTTTATGTTTGTTTGTACATATTTATTTAGACAGATTTGCATGGAGACGTCACTTCGCTCAGATGGCTCCGTTCGCCCCGATATTTTATCGCAGTTCACAGTCGCTTCGCTTGTACGAGTTGTTCAATAAAGTGTCTCGTTCTCTCCTTTTTAACCAACATGTCTTTCATTTCCGTGATACGGGAGTGCGCGTTCGCTCGGACTGGCGATCCGGTCGCGCGAAGCGAATAACGCGCAGCGTTACAGTATTTATGCATGAAAAATTTTTTACTGGGATGTATTTCATGAATATAATGTCCGGGTTTTTAAATAAAAAATCAAATAAAATTCTTCACATGTTAATTGAAAATTATATTTCACTTATTATTTTCACTTATTATTTTATATTTCATTATTTCGCACTTAAAAAATGAGGAATTATTCATAATCACATGTTCTTAATTTGAGATAAAATTTGAAACGCGCTGTAAAGTGAGAGACGAAGAGAATTATTAAAATTTGAGACAATCCCTCCTTGTACAATTTTGACCTCTTTTCTAAACAGACCAAAGACAACGCATGTAATTTGATATAGTATGTATATACGTAAGATCTTTAACTGAAGAATTAAATTATGCTGCTAATTAACTGTTAACTCTCATCTGTAATAGAATTTTCCCTTTGCATTTCAACAATTATGAGTAAGACTAATTGAACTTTGCGAGATGATTAGCTGTTAATTAGAGGGATTGATTTGTTGCATGGTTATTGTTCCCGACCCCGTTGTGGTAGTGGATGTAGTAGTATTCGAGGCTACTCTGTCGCTTATTGGAATCTTAAATGGACCGCAAGTCTTCCCGCCAAATCATTTTAATAGCATTTTCTTGATCTTCTTTCTATACACAAATATGACGAAAATGATGAGACCTTGCAAGGCATTGATGATTTCGGAGAGATACCAAATGTACGGTGGCACAATATTGGCACCAATCGCCCACGATATTATCTCCAGAACCCAAGTTATTCCCACCATGAATAGTTGAAAGAATAGTATGAATAGCTTCAAGTACATGCTAAACCTGTAAGCAAATATATTTTTGTATTGTTTGTAATCGTTACTATAAAATATATTAATAAAATATATAATATCTTTTAGGGGTATTAAAAATATATGCAAAGAAATGTTTTTTATTATCTATTAATTTTACACATTCTTAATAACAATAATAGTAAACATTCTTAGGAAAGACTATCTTAAAAAACAGTAAGCTAAATTTTAATCACAGAGAATTTCAAAATTTCTCCTAAGAAATATTTAAGAAATACAACATTAAAATATATACATATATATATAAATTATACAGATGAATAACTAATATATCAGACTCTGAAAAAAACAATTGTCTTATTATAAATAGAAACTATAAGACAAACATAATTGATATTATGTGAGGCTACTTGTAAATGGATATACATGTTTGCTTTTTTCATTAAAACAAATTATATTTGTATGTAATGCAGATAGGTATATGTAGAATCAGAAAATTTAGAAGCGTTAATGTCGTATGCTTACATATATAACGATCATTATCCTAATAACATTTATGAAATAATTACAACATATTGCCTATATAAGAATAGAAATATTGGTGATCTGTATATCATGCAGATAGTTTGTCCTATAGTTTGTCCTATAGTTTTAATTCATTTTTAATAAAATAATTGCTTTTAAATTCTAATGTAGCTACTGATCTTTTTAATTTATAATGTTAAATATTGTACTTTTTAAACATTAAGAAAAATTTTGAAATTTTCTGCGATTAAAATTTTATTATTGGTTTTTAAGATTGTTTTCAATTGTTTACTATTGTTATTAAGAATGTGTAAAAATAATAATAAATTTTTTCTTTAATATCAGTGAACTACACATCATGCAGTTTTTTATAAATGCAAGTGCATT